CTGCATCATTCCTACGTTTAGCCTTACTATAAAGCTCACATTCATGGTAGAGTCATTACGGCTTGACTTTGACGCATTTGTAAGTAAAGTTTTCTACTTATAAGTATTCATAACTTTCGCTAACATCGCCAACGTTTCGTGCCCAACGTGTAACGTTTTTGCTAAAATCAAAAATTACCCCTTATACATACGCAAAACTTAACTATATTCGGTACCACAGCTCGGACATGGTAAGGTGTTAAACACCATGAACCAAACAAAGTCGTCATTTTCCTGATTTCCATAGTTTTCTATTGGCCCAAAGTAATATACTGCTTAAATAAAATGCAGGGTTTCTGTTTATATAAAAAGCATTACCTTATCTTTTTAATATTCAGCTTTAATATTGTACGATACAATAGCGAAAATTATACATTATACATGAATAAGGTTGAACGTAAAATGAACGTTCTAATTTAAATAGAAGTTATAGTTTATCTGAACTGCACATTTGTCCCAATGACGTAGTAAAATTAATATCTACAACTCTGTAATGGAAGATTGAAACGAATGCCGAAAAATTGAGGAAAAAAAGAGAGATTTTCGCAAAGGATCCTAAATCAACTTTTTGGTGTCCCTATTGACCAACACAATCTTCCTAGCGTAGAGCTCAAATGGTCATTTTGGTTGCACTGCCGTCTTCGTTAGGTAAGTGGACTTGAGGAAAAAGATTTGAATGCACAGCAAAAAATGTCAAAATACTCCAAGATGAAAAGTACACAAAAGCAAAAATGCAGCAAAAGGTGAAAAGTATTTATAATCAGACAGAAAAACATAGTAGAGGATCTGCACAAAAATATGCGTTTGACACGCACAGCATACACCTTACAATAATGGAAAGAGAGACAACCTATCCACAAGGTGCAAATAAGCCTAGCCTAGGAATCCCTAACCTACCAACTATCACCAAAATCACTTAAATAAGTGCATACACGTTTGCTTTAAGTAAAATGATAAAAATAAAAACGTGGCACTCAATCTGCAAAAATTAAGATCTATTTAATCGAGAAGACTTGAAATCAAATGAATTTTTTAATAAACATCGGGATTTCAAAGCTATATTTCCAATAACAAAGGAATTACTGATTATCCACAATTTTGATAACGAAAAGGTTTTAACACAAATTTTTAGCCTTCAGGAGTAAAAAAAACAAAACCAATTGTTCGATGTTAAACTTCTTAAAAACTTAGTAAATGTCTTAAGTTTTACAAAGATTTAAAACTTAAATTTTTAAATTGGCTGCGCTATAAGATTCCGAACCTGGAATTATACAATTTTTTTGTAATCATGCATCAGTTTCATTTGAAACGTACCTAAAATGTATAATAATCCATTAAAATCGAAACGAATCAAGCAAGATAAGGATTGAAATATCTCCCAAAGGATCGTCATCATCTAGTCTATAGTGTGATGTTCCGGGTGTTCAAGGCAGATGGAGTGCACGCTTTATATATATGTTTGCTGTCTGTTTATGTTGTCTCTGTACTCCTGATGCTGCTGTATATGTCTGTGGTAAAAATTTAATGTGTCGCTGGAAGCGCTTGGGGCGGGGGG